ATTTAATTTTATATATATATATATATATATTAAATTAGACAATATGTCCTTCATAGGAATCAATCCGACAACTTAGGCTTTGGGTGAATGGGTTTACCTAAGATTAAGAAAGAGTACAACTAGAATCACAACTAAGCATGATACCAGTTCTTCCGAATTACGCGTTTATTTCATCTTTCAAAATCTCATCCAACGGCAAAGATTCAGTCTTACCCATTCCCCCCACGACTTGTTCCATCTATATAAGCACTCCACCCTCCCTTCCCTTCTTCCTCGCATTCTTCTTCTCCACAATCACATTGCATATTTTCCTAGGCTTCTTTCCTCTGATACATTGCAACAATGTCCTCGGAGAAGGAGAGAGAGACCCAAGTTTACTTGGCCAAGCTCTCTGAGCAAGCCGAGAGATATGAAGGTGATCCATCAATTTTTTTACGTTCTTTCCTTCAGCTTCTAATCATAAAATTACTATATTCAATTAAACACATTACACATCCCATTAACGTTGCCTTATGTTAATCTTGATTATTTGTTTCATAACTTTTCACATCATGGTACGTATAAGAGACTAAATTAGAAACGGCCCATTCAGGTAAATTAATTTAAATTAGTTCATTTAATTGATCTTGTTTGAAACATGATGAGATTCTAATGAGAGATTGATTATTATTTTGTTGAATACCGTAATGCAAGATCAGAATGATCATAAATTATTAAGAGGTCGACTTATAAGATGGTCAAATTAAACTATATGAATGAGATAATTTTATCATACAAGTTTTTATAAGATTGAGTTTGATTCATAACTAATTTCTTAATATTATATTTTAGTGTTATTAGACTTATTAGATCACCTAATATATCTGTTATTGAATCACTCGCAAATGTTAAGTCTTGAATTGATATACGAGTGGAGTAAGACATAAATTTACACTTTAAATAATGTTGTAAAAGGTTAACATGCAAATCGTAAACAAACGAAAAATGTTATATATGTTGATCTTGGTGTCTATGTGATCCATCAGAAATGGTTGAATGCATGAAGTCAATAGCAAAACTTGATCTAGAGCTGACAGTGGAAGAGAGGAACCTGCTCTCGGTGGGATACAAAAATGTGATTGGTGCGCGTCGAGCCTCATGGCGCATTATGTCTTCAATTGAACAAAAGGAAGAGTCTAAAGGAAATGAGAACAATGCGAAACTTATCAAGAATTATCGCAAAAAGGTTGAAGAGGAACTATCCAAAATTTGCGGTGACATTCTTCAAATTATTGACCAGCATCTCGTTCCTAATTCCACCTCAGGAGAAGCTACTGTTTTCTACTGTAAAATGTTAGTCATGTTCAATACTCTTTACTTTCTACCGTTTTTGTTATTATCTACTTCCTTTGCATACATGTTATTCCTTTTTGAATATAAAATGATCGATAGTCATATAGATATATCACTTCTGTAAGAGAGGGATTCACTTTAAATGAGAAATTATAACTGTTGATTGAAGTCAAGAATTGAGATCTGAAAAAGTTATATAATTTAACATACATGTACTTACATGTAATCATACTTTCAACTGTTAATTTTTTAATCACTGGCTATAATACCCTTTCTTTTAAAGTGAATCTCTCAGTTGAGAAAGGGTGAATTTGTATGAATGACATTAATTTTCTTTGGGGTTACGTATGAGTGAAATTAATTGAATGAAGGGTGTGATTTTGGGGTGACAAGGTCTCAAACCCTTGCCTTTTGCAGCCTTTTCTGCCAGGTCTCCGCTGAGCTTTTCAGCAGAGGAATTTATCCTTTTTGGGCTTTTGCACTCTATGTCTTTGTCCACATATAGCCCAATCTATTCTTGGTTCTTCAAAGAGTCCTCAATGCCATGAACATGTTAGTGTCTTTGTGTGTTTATATTCTGTTGTCTTCCTTAATTGATTAAGAACTAGTGAATTATACGCTGTAACAACAACAAAGATGAATAATATGCTGTAACAACAAAAAAAAAATGATTTCTTGTGTGCGTAGCATGATATATCTCCTGCTAGTTTTATAATGCTTTGGTTCTCTATTTGATCTCTTTGAGCTTAATTAATTGATTTTGGTCCAGGAAAGGTGACTATTATCGATATCTAGCTGAGTTCAAGACCGACCAAGAAAGAAAGGAGGCAGCTGAGCAATCACTAAAGGGATATGAGGTTGGTGTCTAATATCTCTCATTTCAGCAATGAACTGCTTCATATATAATATAATTTCTTGTGTTTATCTATATTTGGTACTGTTGTTTGATGTTCAAACTATTGTTATTATTAGGCTGCTTCAGCCACTGCAAACACAGAGCTTCCATCAACACATCCAATCCGTCTTGGACTTGCACTCAACTTCTCAGTCTTCTATTATGAAATAATGAACTCTCCCGAAAGGTAAATTTCCTTTTCCCTTTTCTGGTCCATAGCCAGAAAGCAAAAGACTTTTTTTTATTCTCTGTTGCCATACGAGGCCATATGTTTTGGGTTTGGTATGAATTAAATTCATTTGACCCAAATGGCCATATACTTAGCCTCAAGTCTTGATCCATCAATGTTAATAAATTACTAGTGTCATTATTGTTTGAGGGGGAGAGGGGGTCCATGTCATCAAGTTTATATAACATAATTAGACTCAAGTCTTGGTCCATCCATGTTAATAAATAACATGTATCATTATTTCTCTAAAATCTAGGACTTTCTCATTTCACTTATTACACATCCATGTGCTTCCCAACACTCTATATTCCTATGATCATTTTTGGTCCAATTGCTTATGTATGTTGCCAGCCCTTGTTAATGTCATTTAGTTATCACTAAAACTCACAGGGCCTGTCATTTGGCTAAACAAGCTTTCGATGAGGCAATTGCGGAGTTAGACACCTTGAGTGAAGAGTCATACAAGGACAGCACTTTGATCATGCAGTTGCTGAGAGACAACCTGACTCTCTGGACCTCCGATTTACCTGAGGATGGAGGTATGATGATGATTGAGACTTGATATATGATGAATTTGTGTTGTGCCTCATAATATTACCATAAACATAGAAGCTTTCTACTTTAACTTAATCTTTGTTATTATATACTAGAAAAAAGACTATGTTAGTGTAAAGTAATTTTACACCATCATTCAATCACAAACTATTATATGTGAGACAAACTATTATATGTGAGCAATTTATTGACTTTTATAATAATTATTTTAAAAATCATATCAATGATGACTTATTAAAATCATATTATATATATATATAGAGGTCTCATTAATGATATGGATTACACCACTTATTATCTAATGAGTAATACCTTTACTTAGTAAGTTTTATCTAATAATAAATAAAAAATTATGTTGAAAAAGTGTATTATTATCATGTCTCTTACCATAGCATGTTCTTTTGCTAAAATGATTATGTCCAAGACGGATAGAAAGAGAGTTTGATAGTGTCATCACAAGTTGCAACACGTCCCTCCCACCTACTCAGCCTCTCTCCGAACCTTTGAAAGAACAAACATTAGAGTAAAGACAAAGGAATTAGCTGCTTGTCTTCTTTTTTTGTCTTGAGCTGTTTGTTATTTGCAAAAGCTTGATTCTTTTTTATCAGTTTGTGAAAAAAAAAATGCACTCAGAACTGCTCCACAGTGAGGTTCTACAGAAGTAAGAGTAAACTACACCAACAAAGTAACACTTCCTGAGATTTTGTAAACTTACACTGAGACTACCTACTTTTTTAAGTTTACGAGAAATTTCCTTGTAGAAATCATAGTGTGATGTTTTTCAAATAATTAAGGAAGATTAATATAATAGGAAGAGTGTTGGTGAAATGTTTTTCAAACAATTTAAAAAGGGTTATTGTACGGGTAGAAAAAGTAGGAAGTATTTATATAATTTTACAAAATCTTAATAATGTGTTTGGATAATGTGTTTGGATAGAAAATTTAAATAGAGCAATTCATTTATTTAAAGAATTTTAAATTCTTTAAGGTAAAATATTTTGTTTGAATAAAAAATTTACAAAGAATCTGAAATTTAAGCACTCGTAAAATTTCTTTAAATAGTAAAATTTTAAATTCTTTTAAGAAAGTAAAAATTTGAAATTTCTCAAATTTATTTTTCTTATTTCACTTATACATTTTATCTTATTTCTTATTTCTTCATTCTTTTAATTATTAAATATTTAAAAATATTTTTAAAATTATTAAATATTATCTAATATTACTTTTTAAAATTATTAAATATTTTAAAATTGGATACTATTTATTTTTATAAAATTTAATATAAAAATCTTAACATATGAATATATTTTTAAAATCAATTTTACCACGATGGAATCAAATTATCATATTCATACTAAAAATTTAAAATTTTAAATAAACTTATTCAAATAAAATATTTTAAAAACGATAGAACTTGAAATTAAAGTAATTCAAATATCAAGAATTTTAAATTTCTTAAATTTATAAAATTCTTAGTTCAAACACACCGGTGTTATTATAATTTACTCCAAAAGTATTGATATACGAACACTTCATACTCTAAATGCTTCATTAACACTCGTGCAGGTGACGAAATCAAAACAGAAGAAGCCAAACCTGCAGAACCTGAGGTATGTGTATGAAATTGTTTTCGCCTGTGTTTTTCATTATTTCTTTGAGTGTGTGTTACATCAAGTCGTTGAAATCCAAAAGTAAATGGGATGATGCAAAACCAAGCCCACAATTTGTCTTTTTTAAAATGACAAAAGGGTTTATGTTGGATGTTAATTCACTGGTCAATGTCTTAATGAATGCCTAGTAATTTTCTTTTTTGGTCAAAAAGCCATCATCATTTTCTTGCTCAACAATTAACTCAGTTATGAGAGGCTTGCATTGGATGGCAAGTTAGTCAATTTTTCAATTAATACCAATCAATTTTCACTCTTGATCAAAAGGGCAACACAATTTACTTTTACTAGCTCAGCAATTTTGATGCACTAATGTTGAATAAAATTTCTGTTGACATAATTTTTTTTACTTGTGTACAGAACTGATAGGATTTGGCTGTCCCTGGACCATTACTCAGGCATCTAATGTGTTCTTTTAAAAGAGCATTTTCAGCTTTAATTCTCTTGGAGTTCATTTAGACCAAAAAAAGCAAATTATGGCCACTTCAGAGTTACTGTGCTCTGTTTACATCCAACCATTATTAGAAAAGTTGGACCCACGGCTTTTTTTTTTTTTTTTAATACCTAAGTTTTTCTTTATACTTCGTATATTTTAAGTAAGGTCATCGATTGAACAACGGATAATTTACATATTTTACTTTAAGCCATCTCTTCTATTTGTTGATTGCTTTTGAATTAATTTGTCCAAAATGTTTGCTTACACTGCACTTCTTGGTTGCAAAAACGTTCAGCAGGGATATTTAACGACGAAAATTTAGCAATTGCGTGAATTAAGAGTTTGATCCAGTGACATGACTAATATTTATAGTATATAGTTAGGTATGACTATTGCATAATTAAAGATGTAACAAAACTTGCAAAGCCGGTTAATCCAAAAATCAGAGGCGGAAAAGTTTATCAAATTGGAATGTAGGAGGTTCAATCAAAAGGGTTTGTTTAATGATTAGGATATCACATGATAGGATAATATATGTGATAATTCATTGATTATTACATCAACAAGATAAGATAATCTATCTAATTTCTTATTTTATCATGTTGATTTAGTGCATTTTTTTAATGTGGAAATAACTAGATTTGAAAGTAATATAATGGGATAAGTTTTTCTCTCTTTATATATATATAGTTAATTATTTATACACTGTCAGATTAAATTTTTTTACACTGACAACCGATCATATCTTTTAAAGTTGCTTATTTTATTATTATTTTATTAAAAAAACATCTGACATGACACTATTAAAAGATATGATTGATTGTCAGTGTAAAAAAATTTTACACTCGCAGTGTATAGGTGATTAACTATATATATATATATATATATATATATATCTATGAGAGATCCCTTTACTCTAAGACTAAGTCTACCTAGATTTACTTCATTCACTAACTTATGTTATAGATCAAATTTCAACAATTCAACAGTTGAATTTAAAATTTTTAATACATAGTTCAAATCTTCAAATTTTAAAAAAATTTAAAAATTATTTGATACTTCGTTTCATAAATTCAAATCAATATATAAAATAATTTTATCATTATCCGTCAATTTGAATTAATGAAATGAAGTATCAAATGATTTTCAAATTTTTTAAAAATATACAGATTTGATCTATGCATTAAAAACTTTAAATTCAATGGTTAGATAGTTGAAATTTAATGTAGAACATGAATTATTAAATAGAGTAAGTCTAAGTAGACTTATTCCTAAAGTAAACAGATATTATGTTATAAAAATAACAAAATATATAATAAATATAACATATAATATTGAATATTAATTTATAAAATATGAAGCAATATATACTATATAATAAAAATAATAATAATTTATATAGGAATATACATGATATAATATGTGTATATATATATATAATTTATCATATATAAAATTATACTGATTTTGACATGTAAATTTAAATTATTCTATTAATTAAATATTAAATAAAAAATTATTATTTAAATAATTTTTAAAGAAAAATATTTGAATAATAATTATAGTTTTAAAAATATTGAAATTTTTTTTATAATTTTAAGAAAGGGAAATCAATAAATAAAAATAATTTTGTATAATATGGATTAAATTATATATTTTAAAATTTTAAAATAAGAAAAATTAAAACTTATTTTTCAAAATTTGTATGTAACTTTAATGAAAAAAAATTTGTTATAAAACATAATTTATACAATATTTTATTGGTCAATGTTAAATACAAAGTATATAATATAATAATATTTTATGGTTTATTATCATGATGTGTACGAAATATTAAATAGTATTAAAGTTTATTGTACTCATATTATATTTTACTCTTATTTATCTCATTTTCACATTTAGGGATGATAAGCAAATTCATATCTATCGGTGATATTTGAATCTGTCCCAACTTTGATGACAAATATCTGATTTGACCGAAAATGACTATGAATACGAACAATATTTGATCCATTAAACCGATTACAGGGACAAGGATAGATATATACATATTCGCCCCGTATCCATACCCACTTAAAATTCATAAATATTTAATTTATTTTTTTAGAATTTATGTAATTTCTTACTTTATTTTTAATTTATGCCAAATAAAGTTTAATTAATATAATTTTATAATTATTATTTTATTTCAAAATTCTTTTTTATTTTTTATTTTTTGCAAATAAGAATAATATTTAATTAATTTTTGGATGGGGTACAGGTGTACCTGATGAGTACGGGAATGAGGACACAAGTTTCATACCCGCTAGGTATGGAGACAAGAATGAATATAAGATAGAGGAACAGGGACAAAGATTAGTATAGAAAAATCTATACCCATCCCATCTCGTTATCATCCCTACTTATTATATCTTATCCTAACCACCAAACTACCCTAAGTAAATGGATATGCAACCCTAAGTAAATAGATATGCATGGTTGCCAAATACATTAAAAGAGAATTTTCTCTTGGCCTAAAAGGAGTAATTACCACCAATTAGGAAAGAAAAACTTCTCTTTTGCTAAGTTATCATATAATTAATCAAAATTATAAGGAGAAAAAATAAAGACAATATATTTAATCCTAATATTTGTTGAAATTTTACATGCCAAAATTTTATTTAAACCTATTTTTATAAATTATTAATTATTTATTTTTTCAATTATTTGTTATCAACACCATTTTCTCAATAATCTTATCAATGTGAAATTGGAGAAAAGGAAAACTTATATTGTCCATAATTTTTCATTCTTTAGGATTTTGCACACTCATTAAGAAAATTTTAATACTAGTATGTTAAGTTGAAAATACTTTCATTTAATATATTTAACAAGAGTAGTTATGGAGTAGAAATAATACAACATCTTGTTTGTCAAGAAAATAAAATATTAATGATAAAGTATATTTTATTTTAGTAGGCTTAAATTAATTTATTAATTTAGGTTTATTAAAATAAATTGATAATGTGTTTTACAAGAAATAAAAATAATGAGTTGAGTATGTTATGTAGTTTGATGGGTAAGTAATAGGTCTAAACCCTATAAACCTAACTCCAAAGGTTAACTTAGAGTAAGTGAGGGGTAAAACCTCATATACTTTAGTTTTTCAAATTTTGCTTCCAAACATTCAAAGGAAACTTATAAAGGAGCTTTTGTTTGAGGAGAAAACAAAGCAATTTATAGACCACCTAGACCACACCCTTCACATCAAGGAACATCATCTGATGTAAGAAGGTGAGTGGAATAATCTTCTTCACATGGCATATATGAGAATTATCCTCAATCCCATAAGATTTTGTTTGTATGTAATTATTGGTAACATATGTTGTGTGTAATTGGTATTTATGGAGTCAATTTTTTAATTGAGATGAATTAATTAATTTCTTGACCTTGCAAAATATGTTTAGGGTTCTTGGGTGCCTAAATTGGGATTTTTGTGTAATTACCTATTGTGAAATTACCTATCATTCTTGAATTCTGTGAATCAAATTGTGACACCATCTACCCCAACATACATATATAGTAATTATATAAAATAAATTAAATAAAATACAATTCTTCAACATAAGACAATCAAATCTCCAACAACACAAGGGTAAAGAGTTCACATTCATAAACTTAATAACACGTAGAGAAATTACAAGGAAATGAAACTGAGTTTTCCAAAATAATTTAATAAAAATAACATCCCAATCTAATCCTATTTATGCCCCGATGTCACATGTCCTATCAGAACAAATCCAAACGTAGAAGCCTAAGTTTCATCATCAACATCCTCAGCCTCATGCTGATAATAACCTGTATGACAGTTAGAGAAAACAACACAAGAGAAAAGGGAGTGAGAAACATCTCACTCTAGCTCACAGTGTAGATAGCCAAACACAAACAAGACAGGTATATCATAGATATATTAACAACAATACTACATCTCACTCATCCAAGACATAAAAATATCAATTTATCATATAATATTAAAAATGCACATGTATGGACACAGACTACATATTATCATGCATGTGGCGCCAGTAAAACATCACATGGCATATTGCCGCTAGCAATACACGAAGGGTAGTCTAGGAGTACATGCCGGGTCACACCCTCTGCGCACTCTCACTAGAAGGACATACTACCAGAGTCTCGTCGGGATAGCTAAGCCGCGCAAGATACATCTGGGCGAGACTAGGACTTCCAAACCGAGCTATCCCCAAGGACTAATCCTCAAAGCTTTTACACTAGGGGGCCTTCTCTGGCGGCGTATTTCATATCGTACCCTTAAAAACATTTATGCACATGATGTATGTCAATCAAGACTCTATGCATTCTCATATAACATTGTCATGCCTCATTATCATCTCACATCATCATGTCTCATTATCACTTTTCACATCATCTCATCATATCATCATATTACATTACCACATCTTCATATCTCATGTCTCAATCACATTTCACATTACATCATATTCACATAGCTTCCACAGAGCACTTTAATTTATATCAAAACATATTTATTCTCAAAATTAATCACATATTTACACATTACATTCAACAAGGAATACAATAGAGCAATCAGATAGCAAAATAGAAAATATTCATATTTTTCCTGTTTCTCATAGGGTTCTCTCAAGAACCCACAGAGATTTCGAATCATACAATTATTTACATATAAGAAGAGAAATAGAAAAAACATATATAATTGAGAAAAACCCCTCATACATGAGCATACAACAAACATAGGATTGGGGGTCAATCCCACTAACCAACATATATTCCCACACTCAAAGCGAGGTTTCTCACTCCCCCCTTACCTTGATAAGCAAGAGCTGAAACTAAAGCCAGATCTTGTTAGTCCCCTCTTCTCGGTTCTCACTTAGTCTTCAAAGAGTGTAGAAGAAAAAAGAGGTCAGAAGTGAAAAATGTGCTTTTGGGAGTGTTGGAGCGTTCTATTTATAGGCATCAGGAGTGGCCAGAACGGCCCGTTTCAAATCTGAAACGGCCCGTTCTGGACTCATTCGTCATGCTAAAATTTCATATCCAGAACGGCCCGTTCTCAGACCAGAACGGCCCGTTCTGGGATTACAAATTAACCCACAACGGCCATGTGTGGAACGGCCCGTTCCCAAAGTGGAACGGCCCGTTCTGAGTTCGCATATTGCTCATAAAATCTAGTAT